CCTCCTTAAACATGTCTATCTAGGAATTCCTATACCTTCCCCTATGCTGTAAATGGGAAAAGATTGGGTACTGTCTGAAAAACGCAGGGTACTGGTTATTTAAAGGCATCAGGATAAGAATCGCGGAATTGGCGGTTATGTGCCATCTCGCGTCGATTCGTAGAACCAAATTTTAGTTGATATGATGTGGATAACTCCACGTAAAAACAACATTGAAAATACGATTTTTTTTAATTTGCTCCTAATAGCCTCTGAACGACTTCCCTAGTTCACGAGTAGTCACCAAATGCTGAAAATACGGTTAATTATGAATAGCTAGCATTTCACTGATGCTGATTTTTCGTCGAATTCTCAACTTCAACCAAGTCTCAACGTTTCAACCTATTCTCAATGTTGATACAACGTTGTTGTGCCGAATGGGTATGCTCTCCATCTATTTCCAACTTGCTTTCAACGAAATGAGAAACAATTTTTTCGTCGCCCTTCTTCCTTCGTTACGGTAGTTCAATCAAATAAACGTCAACAAAGAATAATTTACTTAATGTGACCTATCATAAAATAAACATAGAGCAGTTTCCGTAAATAATTTTGTTTTTAAATCGGAGCTTCCGGCTTCTAGCAGCTAAACGTTAGTCTAACTGTCATGGCGACAAAAAAAAATTGTTGCACTTTCACAAAACTTATATTTCGCTGGGGAATCATTTGAAGGAATTTTTGAATAATCTCCTGAATAATTATCATTATTATCATTTTTAATACTTATCATTACTCACGAGACCTTGGAATCATCCGTCCTATTGTCCAAAAGGATAAAATCAATCATCCGAAAATCGAAGTGGAAACGATTAAATTGCACTTCGATCCTTGTTCTGAGAAAGTTTCATTCCTTAATATGATTCCTGAATATTTCGGTTAGTTAGTTTTTATCTTTTTTTCCCTCCTATATTAAGAGCTCCCTTGAGTGCGATGGAAACGGTTCAAAGCCGTTTTCAAGTTTATCATTTCGACAAGTCCTGTTCGACTTCGACAAGCGAGTGGTAAAAGTGAGTGATGGAACCTCGAACATTTTCTCAGATTCTGAAGGATGTTGGACGGATGCGATGCCAAAGAAAGCCCACAGTTGTCTCACCTTTTCTGCGATGAAACATTGAGGACCTCCACACGCCGTAGATTGCACACCAAGCTTCAGGAAGCAACACTAGTGCAAAGTGAGCTCCGAAGACTCAGCTCTGTGAACGTATCCTCCATGGTTGTCTCCTGGGTGATCAACCAGGTGGGATATTCCAGAAGATCCGACAGCACCATAAGAACAAGAGAGCTGAAAAAATCAGTTTATCAGAAATTGTCTTTAGTAGCCATAGAATCGGGAGGAAAGATGGGGAATGTCTATTGACAACGTCGAAAAAAGGAGGGGGGGGAAAGCCGAGGAAAAGAACAAAACCTATGTAGATCCACGGCAACATCACAACTGCGACCGCGACGAAGGAGTCGAGGGCAGGAAAATTTCATTCGCCATAACAAAATACAGACAGCGATAGTAAGGTGAGACATAGGTTAAACAGCTAGGTCACAAGGAAAGGCGAACTGAAGCCAGTAGGGGAGGGGGAGGGGGAGGGGGAGGGGGACGGAGCGCGTTGTGGATGACGTCGAGGCTGGCGAACGAGTTCTTCCCTGTTGCCTCCACAGAATTAGCAGCTCCTGGACTTCTATATAGGGCAGGGGAGACGAGGGAGAAGAGTGAAGACCACTTGACTCCTTTGAATCAGCTGTGCATAATATGATTGATGATAAGTATTAGTTCTATAGAAAGAGCTCGAAGTGAAGCTAACGTCGCTCGTGAACACGGACATCTATTCATCTGTTTCCACAATTTTGGAAAATCGTGACAGCTTCATCCGTCCTTACGACCACGTCACAAAACAAGAAACCTCTTAGGTCTGTCGAGATGACATCCACGAAACCTTGCTAAAGTGTAAAGTAGTTCAAGGTCCAATGAAGTGCGAACATCACGATTAGTGGGTCAATCTTGAAACTGAAGCTAGTGCAGTATGACCAATGTAAATTGGAGTTGTAACGTTTTATAACATCAATTTTGAAAACAGGAAAACGGAGTGCCAATAAAGGCAACCTCGGTTATAACGACGATTTTTACCTGGTCCCTTCGATGACGTTATAACCGAGTTCGACTGTATTTTCTAGTCTTTGGACATTTTTCTCTGCTGGGGAACCCAACTCTTCCGCGTCTTCGAGTCGTTTTAAATATTTAGAGAAAACAAGTGCATCAACACTACAGTGAGTATTCGATTTACAGCCGGAAGAGACACGATCCACCAGTCGTCTTGACTCGGAGCGTGGGAAATCGCTTGTGGAAACAAGCACCTGTTGAAAAAGAATCGAATTTCAAGGCCTGCGCTAAGGGATTGCTTCCATTTAGTCATGTACTACCGGAGAAAGAGCCCGAAAGACCTGAAAGTATACATTTTCCAGTAAAAAAAAAATAAATATAAAATAATCCCTATAAGTCCCTAAGATTGCACATTATAATGAATCTTAAGAATTTTTTATCATCTAAAAACCATGATCTGTCGCACCCTCCAGTTTGAAAACCGCTGTCTTAAGGAAATGGAAGACGCTGGAGAGCGCTGCAACGGGCTGCCCTTCAGAGCGCAAGTTTAATAAATTCCTTGTTAACCCTACAACTCGCAATCCAAGTTCAAGGTTCGGGTACGGCGTCAAGAGGTATCTCTGCCCTTTATGACGTACTGTGTCAAGGTCGAGTGTTCGTATACTGTAGAAGATAGGTTTAACCCTCTTAAAGATAAATACTTTTGTGCTTTTGAGGGAACAATACTGTCTACACCCTACAGCTATTTTTGTTTTGTCCAAGAATGCATCTAACCTCCTAACGCTATCAACGGAAGGGCAGCCACTACATCACCTAATGCGTTCAATGCATTCACTGCCCAACGTCCTGACACTTCGCAATTGACTCTCTGCCCTCTTCCCGACAACCAATTAGTGAACTTACTCGCCCAGCGTCGAATTCCGTGCGTCTCTAATTTAGTCTGTAACATCAAGAGAGGAACAATATCGACAACGTTAAGCGAAGTCTGAGTAGACAATGTCCGTGGGATTCCATTTATCCCTCTCATCCTGATCGCTAAATTCGAGAAAAGTTGGGATGGGAATTACGTCGAAAGCCGTGCTGAGATGAGCAAGTTTCCTTCAAGGAATTCAAAGGTGCGATTCCTAAGGTTGCTCCACACGATCTTCCCCGGAATGCTCGTGAGACAATCAGAAATGAGGTGAGAATGAAGTGAGAAATGCTCATCACCTATATCGCAGCATTTCCAACACACGCAGAATCAAGGAATCAAATAATCTAAGACTGAATTCCCAAAATTGTCCAAAATCTCGAGTAAGCGTAACATAAAAAAAAGTCGAGTATCAACTGGGCGGATCAAACGCACTGGCGTTCGCCAGGATGTGGTGCCAACTTCCTGTCATCCCTGCTGCCAGCTAATAATGAAGACCTGTCTCTCCGCGACAGCTTTCTCATATCCCTGACGGAAGGCATATTACGTCTTCCCTTCTCATTTCGGGCTGTTCCGTTCAGCTCTCTAACTACAGCTGCCAGGAGTTTCTTGCATGTCTTGGGATTCCCCATTTGGGAGAACAAGGCATGTAATTTGGCCTTCAAGAAAGGGCAGTCATTAAGAGAATGCTTGCTGCGTTCAAGTTCATCTATTCAAATTGTAATCATCGATCGCCCAGAGGTCAAGACGGAACGCTTAGAGGAGATGAAATTTTTACTTTCCCAGTAAAGTCAACTTATACTCTCGGATCTATTGCTCTGAGGGCACGATAAAATTCGTGACAAAAGCCTGTAGTAGAACCTCAAGCAAGAGATAACAATCGAAAACGAAGTTCCAGATCTTCCTCGGACCTGGTGATCTTGTCTTAACGATGTTTTTCAAAAGACAGTGATAGCTGTTGCAATAAGTGCTGTGTACTTATGTCTCATAACTTGTGACAGTTTTCTCAAGGAAGAGAAGCAAGACTGAAGCTAAAGAAGAACATGCATTCAGATAGGCCCAATGCACAAAAAAAAATCGGAAAATACTCCCTAAACATCCACAGGTACAAAAAGTACAAACATGTGGTAAAATATGCAGGCAAGCAAAATAAAATATCACAAAATTATAAAAGGTACTTGAAACTCAAAATTCATGACTGCTCCTCCATCATATATGGCAGGTAAATCTTGAAGAAGAAATGCTCAAGCCGTGGGATTACAGCTTGAAGGAAAGAATCATCATAAGAAACATGTACAGTGACTTGATCATGTCTTGAATATGTGAAAAAGGAACAGGACTTGATTCCCAACACATACAACGCAATTTGCACTTGTGTATAATACTGATGGGTTTCTCTCAGCATAGGGCACCCCTTCTCATCAAATGTGAGATATGGTACCATGCTCTTCTTTGACAGGCGGTCAATAATGTAGCCATGCTCACAGGTCTTGGGACATTTGATTTCCAACAGATGCAGAGAGTTTTCCTTCCAATACAACCCATCTGGGCTGCAGCATAACCAGGATTGCTGAGGATGACAGAATAGGCCAACCTCTGCAACACTCACATGCTCCTGTTTCTGAAAAGCTTCACGTGCTACTGGTTCCAGGAGTCTCCCATATTCCATACTTGCATTGAAAAATGTACATTTCAACTTTGGGGGCAGCAATGATAAGTCTTTCCTCCAAGTCTTGATGGGATGACAGCAGGTGCTGGTGATCCTGAGTTTGCGTTCCTCATGCCATTTGGAGTTGGATGACTGGCCAATAGTTTCTCTGGCAATTTGTTTTTGTTTTTCATCATCTGCATAGATGTGTTGGCGATAAAAGTGAAGAGTTTCAGAATTGAGACAATCTAGGAGGGAAATCTTCTTCACCTTCATCTGGAGACCTTCAGGATCTATTGAAATGGTCTCGTAGGCATGGAAACAGTTTCTATCAAATAAAAATACTGCCTCCATCTCTGAGGGCAACTTCATTTCTCTTGGTTCAGCTTCATTCCTCTTAAACGATGCAACCATTTCAGGTAAGAGCTCATCTTGAGTTGGACCATCGATCAATTGAAGATGAGACATGGCATCTGAAGGGTCAATGGCACCTCTGAAACAATAATACCTTTTCTTACATATATGAAAAAATACATAAAAACAACTGTAAGCCTGATCACAAGCCAAAATTCTGATGAATCATCCAGATACTCAACACAAAAAAAATAACCCAAACTATTAGTACACTGAATTTTTTTTATATACGTCCAAGTTGGAAAATATCACCACACTACTTACTATAATTCCCATTATATTAGTGCAGGGTAGATGCAACTCCAAAATTGAAAAAACATTCTATAATGACTAATTACTTACAAATCTTCAATGTCATCACATTTGCTCAGGAATGTATCTTTCACCTTCTTTTCCATCTCATAATCAAAGGAAGTAGACAGTTTGCTCCATTCCTAAGGGGGAGAGAGGGCAAGAATGGTTTGAATAATGGTAAAATTCAAGGTAAAATCAATATAAAATGAATATGATAACTTTGACCCTAAATGATGCAACTCCTCTCCAGAAGCCAAACTACTAGTCTGATGATACCACTGGAAAACACTTTCAATTCTACATTTTCATTTGTCCCTTTAGGTCTGAGAATTAAATTCATGACAAGATTTGACAGTAATACAGTGAGGTTGGAGCAATATTAATTTCTCACTCATGGATGGCAATTCAAGGGAAGAGAAGCATTATTGAAAGAAAAAACTGAAGCAGAAAGTCATGGAAGTGCTATAGTTTCATTACTCCTAACCTGTTTCAGTCAATAAGGATGAAATTAATGCCACTCCAGCATCTCTTGCTTCTTTAAACGTAAGCATTTGGATGTGACCTACCCACCTCACAGAATTATAGTTGAATCTTATTAATTAAATTCTCATATCTGAAAAAAAACATCCAAGTTTTAAAGGGCTTTCCTAAGGTATCATCAGTTTCAGGATCAGACAAGTAGTTTGAACTGCAGAAGGGGGTGCATTATTATGTATTATCCCATATGTGGTACTCAGATAATGTAGGAAAAGGCAGAGAATTTACCTGTTGCATAGTCACTGTAGAGCCCTTCAATGATGAATCATTGTTTACGAACAGGACAATGGCACACACATGCTTGCATCTGCCTCTAAGTCCACCTTTACATGAGCACCAAGCATTGATGACATCCCTTGGTGGCTGAACCTGGTGAGAAAATAGTGTGTGTTTATTTTGATGCTGTAAATTTCCCTTGCTTAGGGTTTACCCATACAGAAAGATCAAGTATGGCATGTAATTACTTGTGGCATATAACTTCATATAATTTTCACACATTGAAATATGAACACATATATGGTTGAAGCATATGATCCATGTAAGGATTATTCATATATTAAACATACCTGGGTGGTATATATATTCTATATAAAATAATTCTGTGGTTTAGGAGATGAGCTCCTGCGTATATGATGATGTATCTGGTTTAAGTATAGGATTTTTATAGAGGACTTCAATATATATTTGTATATACATGTTCAGCATAAGGAACAGTATACAATTTATATGGTATGGTCATACCTGCACTGCATGGTGACATCCCAGGGATGTCCCAACTGGACAACTTGTCCCAAAGTCTTTATGGGATATTTTAAGGACATCTTCAAGCAAAGAATACCATATAGAACAACCCTTTAAAAATAAATGATTATCCTGTTGACAGGAAATGAGTCTGTTTCAGAAAGAAATGCACCCAGATATTTTGATATTGCTGAGAAGTCCCTAGCAATTATCTCTGGGACTTCTGGCTTGTTCCAAGGGGATATTTTTGGGATCTACTCATGCTGTGTTGGAAGTGAATGGTTTATTTTCACAGATGTGACAGATGAACTCTTGGTCAAATTTTCCCATTCTCAATTTCTATTTCTTCCTAACCTGAAATAACTTTTTTGATAGATGATTCATTCACATCCCAAGTGAAAAAGTTTAATACAAATCAAAAGAACTGTATAGAGAAATTTATAGACTCCATAGAATCTATATCTCAATGTAGTGACTGAATAGAATCCGAATATAGGCTTATAGAACAAAAAAAATGGGCAATATTGGGCAACTGTTTATGCATCATCATATCCTCTGTAGTATATAAAGTATAACCAAGTTTCCATAACTTTTAACCCATAAATATTTTCTCTTACTGCAGCTATTATCGCAAAACTTATTTTGTGCATAACATGGTGTCACAATGTAGTGGGCTACCTCCTTCACTGCCATCAAGTGACTCACTTGGTGATACATGGAGGAGAACTGTGCAAAAGTGTTCTTAGTGGCAGTGAGTATGTTTCAAGTTTTACTGTTACATTTACTATAGGTGCGATGCTGACAGTTTGACCCTCACACATGATTTCAGTTCCTAGCCCTGGGCTTTATAGGCCCTACCTTTATCCTATCTGCTACAAGTGCAGGCATTTCTTGCTCATAGGTCTGAGTCAATAGCCATGAGGACCTAAAAGTCTAAAAGTAGAAGGCTTAAGACCAAAAAGAAAGTTAATCTTCATATACTCTTCCTCCATGAATAGGCTGTCGTCACCAATGATAGTGACAATGAGTGATACCCCTGCAATTTGTTACTTCATTAGGCCAAGCCCTAATGTTGGGCTTAGGAACTCTAGAGATGGGGTTATTTTGCCTTTTCCAGAGAATCATGAGTTTCCTGCTTTAGCTATGACAGGATTGTCAAGTTTGGAAAGAGCCAGAGTCACTGTTGTCTAACTCCAATTCTACTTTCTCAGGAACAGAAATGGTGAGTGATCACTAATTGGTGAGGGTATATGCTCTTCCACTTACATGAGAAAGAGGTGACTTCATATTGCATGTACATTTCGCAAACAGATGATGAAAAAGACTCAAGATATGATCTTTGCTCCTTCAACAATCCTCTTGAATCCTTCTGAGAACAGCTTAGAAGCCCTCCCTGGAAATGAAGCAAGGATTCAGAGAGATATGGCTTTTCAGAATCTAACAAAAGATGTGGAACAACTGTTCTCTTCTTTTAGACAGAGAAATATAGTTTATTCACCCTGAGCTGAATTGGCCAAGGCACAGCATTGGAGGATTTAGAAATAGAAATGCCAGTTCATACGGAGTTAGAGAGAACTGCATCCATCCATTTGTTGATGCACCATTGATTTAAATGGGTTTAAGTACCCTGAACTGTATCTACATGCCTATGTGAGCAATACCTCTTCAGAATTGAGAGCCAAATGGACAAAATCCTCAAGCTACATGCTTCCATCTAGTGATCTTCAAAGGGTCAGTACTGGTCTTCAATATGAGGAATTAGGGGGAACTTATGTTGCAGCTTCAATCTAACTCAGCTTGAGTAAGAAGCTTCTTGACATTGGAAGTGGTGTGATGTTATCAAGGCGAACTTTGAACAGAGTCATAATAATGGCAAATGGGTCTGGTGTTAGGTTGCCTGGATGTCTTCTGGTGAAATTTTTCTTCATAGAAGACTTGAAGTGAAGTCCTTGACAGGCAAGGCTTGTCATGCCAAGCTGGGAAATGAAGCTCATCTGCCTCTGGATCAATCTCACCTTCAAGCTATTCTGAGTAAGTCTGAATTTCATTGATATATATTACATATGTACTGTCTGCCATTGAAATTAGTAGCACCACTAACCCCCTTTCCATTTAATCATTCTGACCTCTTGAAACTAATCAATTTCATAGGGTGCTGCAAGGTGTTCATGTACCAAATTAAATCTGTGTTCCTCAACTTCTTGGTGCTGCAATTTTAAAGGCAGTGTATAAATGAATTTTTCTGAAGATGTCCCAAGTGCTATGCTTTGGGTAGTAGGTGCTACTTGATGTATGCAATATTTTCATTGATCAGAAGTTCATTTGTACATCTTTTCATTTCAACAGGTTTTGCAATGGAGAAGACAAAATGCACGAAGAATGGGTTGATGTCATCTCTTGACAAACAATCAAGGAACAGGAAAGGAAGTGAAAGCCATCTCTTAATATTGTGCTTTGTTTTGTGCTGGTACATTTAAACTTAATTCAGAAATTGGGAGTACATGTTGGTATTTTACGAATATCTTGTAAAATTCTAACAATTTCAAACAGTAATTTTTATATTAAAGAAGAAACTAAGTATAAATGTATGCAATCCACAAGAGTTATACATTTTAATTGTAAAGAGATCATATGTCATCTTAAGTTTTTCTTGATTGGAGATGTACCCTATCAATATCATTAAGTGAGTTTCTAATACCCAGATCGTTGTGCATCTTGTAGATGGTATGCATAATCTCAAAGCAAAGAAAATGATTAAATCTGGGGAAATCATGGATTAGGAAATCCTACAGGACTTCACTGGAGTGGAAGTGGATCTGTGAAGCATTGCTCTAAGGATGTCCTAAGACTAGACTAAAAGTCACTGTGTGATCCCTTTCAGCTCTCTATATTGAGATTCTGTAGAATTTCCACATAAAATTTTGATGAGACTATAGAATAGTCCAACTGGCGGTCTGCAGGCCAGATCTGATCCACCAATTCATTTTCTCCGGCCTACAAATTCCTCTTCAACAGCTGACTTTGGAAAATTGCTGCAAATTTCACTTGTTTGCATTAAAAATGTAGTGTACGTGGTGTGAGATTTGTTAGTGAGGCCACCAAACACACCTGAACCAAATCATTTGATCCCCACCAAAATGAGTTGGAAACCCCTGCTATAGAAATATGGTATATTTTTCTATAAAGTCTCTATATAATCTCTACAGGCACTCTGTATAGAGATTCCACAGAATTTCAATAGAATTTTTCCTATAAAACATTTTCTCCTGGGTATTTTTGTACACAACTGTACGTTATCTGTAATCCACAGGGCAAACGTTGGTCAGCTTTGTGGTAGGCCTAGGCTAAAATTTAAGCTACTCTTTGTGGTATTTTACTTTCTTAGGCCTAGCCATGCATCCACTTGATCATGGATCCACTCATCTTTGCTCACCTGATTCAACTGCAGGCTGACTTCATAAGAAACGCTATTCTCTGGCATTGAAGGGATAACTTTGCCAGTAATCTTCACGAAATCCTGTGACCGGCGCTCTTCGACACCATGTACATGGAGTGCACGGAGTAATTTCCGTCCCTTTTCCCACGCTGCTGGCTTATCATTCGTATAATTGATGGGAGGGAAGCCCATGTAACGTAGTTGCTCCATCACAAAAAACACTCACTCCAAGAACGGAGGATATTAAGGATTACAATCACTGACTCGGCTAAGGTCCTACCAAACACACGAGAGAACCACGTGAGAGACTGGAGCGCCATCTGAGCTTTAGTTGAAGAAACTTGTGGCCGCTAAACTCAGAATCTCCCGATGCCGGCGGTAGTCCTACGATAAATACGGCTGGTGTGGTCAAGTCTCGGGATCCTTGCGCTGAGACAAGCCTATTGTGACGATCCTGGTAAAGAGTCATAGTTACACGTTCTTGGCCGAGCAGCCAGTGGGACGAAGCTACCATCCGAAGGATCATGCCTGAAGGCCTCTTAAGGCAGAATTTCTGCTAGAAATGGCGACCATACTGTCGCATCCCGTGCGGCAGCGGCAGGAAGGTCAATCGAGATCCCGTCCAACGGGGGGTGAACCCTCGGGGATCTCTGGTCCGCACCTTTGAAGGGCTATGCCCCGAAACACGGCCGTCTCCCGCCGTCCCGTGCCACGTGCGGGGGCGCCGGGGGCCGCGCGTTGTCAACTCGCTGACGAGGTTTCGTAAAATCTTACATCTTCTATCTTTCACAAGTGAAAATAGAATTACAAAATAAAATAATTAACAAATGGGGTCACATCATATCACATACCTTTCTCACAAATGCAGATCTACCTCATTTTTTGGTGGATGGGTTTTTAGTTAGGTCCTCTTCATTCGATTGTCCTCCGGTTTGATGCTGAGATGAGTTCTTGATATGGAGCCTGAATTCGGGTCCCCGCCTCCAGGAAGGTTGGAACCTCGGCTGACGAACCGCACATGCACGGAGATGCCAATCCGTCTGCAAACGACTCGAGTTCCGCCCAGGGTGTCGTACGTGGTAGAGCAGCCTTCAAACTGCGATTCATTGAGACTTAGCCCTTTGACTGGAGGATTTGTCCGCTCGGAGACGGACAGAGTCCTCCGCGAAACCCTTGCCACTTACCCCGAAATCACCGGGTTCGTGCGTATGTTTTCTTCGAGGCGCGGCCGCGATGGCCCGGGTTCGAAACTCGACCTCTCATCTCATCTCAGCATCAAACCGGAAGACAATTGCATGAAGTGGACCCAACTGAACCCCCCACCAAAAAAAAGAGAGAAAGATCTGCATTCTTGCGAAAGATATGTGATATGATGTGACCCCATTTGTTAATTATTTTATCTTTTAATTCTCTTTTCACCTGTTGTGAAAGATAATTATTAAAGATTCTATGAAACCTCGAAACCCGACCTTAGGTGCTCCCAGGTAGCAAGGCGAGAGGGGCCGTTTTTTCCTCAGGTGTCCACTATACAAGGATCACTTTTCTCCGCCGATTCTCGTTTCCAGCGGATGGAGAAGTGTTTCTGTTTCGGAAATCGATATGGAGTCTGGGACGATTCCCACCCTCTTCAATCTGCTTCGGCACTGGAGAAATTCAATTCGGATCGTCCGGGGCGGTTTCGGACCGGTCAAATCCGTTTTCTCCATGGTGTCCCACTACACAAGGATCCATTGTTCTTGAGCAACTTGTAACCCAGGTGTGTGTGCAGAATGCAAAGGTCTGTTCTCGAGGAACGTCTCATGTGAGCAAGGGCGAATGAGAGTCATTTGTGTTCCTGTTTCTCGAGCTTCTCTGCTGGCTGTGGTTGCACTTGCAGGCGAGATGCGACGGATTCTCGATAGCGAAGCGGTTATAGCTGGAGGAAATGAGGAGAGTTAAGCAAGAGAATGAGATGTGAGGCTGAGGAAAGCTTGAATGCATGGCTGATATGATAGGCTAGAGAAATATAAGAGCTTCTTCTTTGTCTTTCCGAAATAATAGCAGAAGATATGAATATTGATTATGTTTTCTGGATAGATTGTAGAATGGATGAATTTTAGTGAGAAAGGATTGCATGGTACTGGGAGCGGCCGGCGTCTCACACGTTGCGCTGCTTAGCTCCCCCCCCCCCCCCCCCTCCTACCGCTCAGCACCCACCCTATCGGAGGAATCAAAGGTAATATAAGTATCAGTAAGAAGTTCCTTGTATACTGGACATCTGAGTGTCCCCATTATACTAGGTTCTATCTGCCTGTCCCCGAACTCTTCTGTCCATTCGATGCGATATCAATCCTTCCGAACTAATTAATGAACACCGCCTCTCTGTGGCGATCCCATTGGTACCTATTTGGTCGAGGTGCATTCCAAAGCATTTGCTCAAGATGAGGGAGAAGGGAGAATCGATCGATGCGCGCTCAGATACGGGATTCACGGAGACTGTACTGAGTAGCGGGTCCCTCGCGTGCCAGGAGAGATATATGAGCTGGGGCATGTCTGTGCGCTGCCGAGGCGGGAACCGTCCGGGGGAAGGAGAGCTTCTCTCCTCCCGGGTGGAAACCGTCTCCCTGCGAACAGGACTGCGTCAGTTGGTCGTAGCGGTACCCCGCGACGCACGGCCGAGCCGCAGCAGCTGCTCCCGAGGACGACGGATCGGGCGACGCGCTCTTCTCTCATCGAGAGTCGGTGTGCGTTTCCCATCGCTGTCGAACTCACGACGGCGTGCGGTTGTGGCTGCCGGGAGTTCTCGTGCTCCTCCCGGCGCTGCTCATTGCGGGGCTATAGACGTTCGACGTCTCGGGCACGGAATCCGCAATCCGATCGAGTCGAGGCCCCCCACGGGGGAATCCCCGCTCGGAGCGCGGAAGTGGGTCGAGTTTGCCTCGACCGCAGGAGAGGTACGTCCGCGGGCACCGCTCAGCGGG